AAGGATTGGTGCCCCACAGGGGTTTGACCTGGGAGAGATGCGGAAGAAAAGGGGGAAAGGAGAAGTAATGGGGTTATGTCGGGACTGCTTGCTTGGTCCTTTCTTGGGACCGGAGCCAAGCATGTCAGCATCGAAAGGCGGAGTGTCATGCGACCCTGGAAGGCGCTGAGACAGGCCCGTGGTCGCCTCCCTACTTTGCTTTTTGAGCATTGTTTCCCCTTTTTCTTGCTCCTTCAACCTCCCACATTCTTTGCTTACGTGAAAGTCTGTGATTTTTTGATCAGGGGCGGCGGACGTCTGAGAAGCGTACACCTGCCAAGAGAAATATATGGATTTCGGAAACCGCCCCTTCATTTTGTAGGCGACATTGGCACCGGAGCCACGAACGAGCTGCCCCCAGTACACGGCGTTGGGATCGATGAGCCCAAAATGAGTGTAGTTGATCTGGAGGGGTCAGGCCGGGCAGGAAAAGGAGGGAATGGAGGTGAACCAAGAGGCCAAGTAAGGGAGCTCACGTATCAAGAGCACCTACCGCATATTTAGCGTGCCAGTAACAATGTGGCCAGCTATATCCTCTTGCCACCTCATTAGTATCGACGTCCCATTCAATGGCTGCACGTTTGTCGTCTTGGTCGACAGTGGGGAATTGCAAAGCAGCGACAGGAGGGCGGTCGGGGGATCCGACCGTGCTTCGGATCTTGGGGGTTTTGGCTCGCCCCTCGGCCCTGTCTGCGCCCCGGGTGGGAGAAAAAGCGCCATCTAGATCGACTATGACTTGGTCTTTGGTATTTGTGCTATCCCTCATGCTATTCGTGTCTTGGTCTTCACTCGAATCAGCATCCGTGCTACGTAAAAGCTTCTGAGACTGACCTAAGGAGGATATGCTATGCGTTGACACGGTCAAAACACGGACGAACGCATTGAGTGAATAGTATTATTGAGTATAATAGATATGTTTATATAGTAGCAAAATGTCAATGGCGACAAAGTATATTGTCAGAGGTATACGGGAGAGAAATGGCTTCTCATTTTTTTGGTCATTAGCAAAAGCCCCGGGTCTCTTTTTCTCATCTTCCACTTAATTTGTAATTCCATTAAATTTGCGTGAATAGAATAAGTGTGAATTGAAGCGTACCTTGTGAAGCATAAGAGCCCCACCATTGCTCTCAAAGTCCTCCGCATGATTGCCTAGTAAAGACGCTCGACAGAGGATTTCCTCTGGGTTGTCGCCCTTAATTGGAGGAGAGAATTTTGGATGGTAAACATGCTTATACTATGCCCGCAGATGCATGGGAAGGTTTTGGTGCCAACCACCACTTTGATCCACCAAATGGACCGTAGGCTGCCGCACGGCGGGGGATCTCAGGGAGCGCGCATCGGACGTGCCCCTCGGCAAGCTGAAGATGCCAAATGTTAATACGCCTTCCCCCAAAACCCAACAATAAGGATTAGCAAATATAGCAAGATTTTAAATAATATGCATCGTCACATTTTAGATGTGCGGTCAATGAACCCGCAACGAAAAGACGCAAAAGACATGCACGACACTGGGGTGGAGGCTGTAGTTCTTCAGCCGTTTAATGTTTGAATTTTTGAAATGCTGGGACCGGGATCCTGAAAAGCACTCAACATGGAATGTCCACTTTTCATGTCTTCAAGGTTCGGTACTTCCCTTGTTTTTTCATGCAAAGTAGTCACATGATACTTTGTTAATATCATGGCATGCATGCCTTCTAATATTGCTCGTTTGAAAACGCAGGTCAGACTAGTTCCAACTAGATGGAAGTCTACCAATTTATTTGTCCCATTAACACCAAGTACAATTGTTTCGAAGTTTTTTTTTCTTTGTCGACCTCTATCATGCCATCACACCTTTCAATGCGTCCTGAGCGGCGGCCTTGGCTGCGTCGGCGGTCTTCGCTTGCAGTTCCTGTTGCATGGTCATAATCTGGCGAGGGAGGAATAAAGCAAACCAAAAAACGAAGAGATCATGAGTGCACACCCTTGCCTTCACAATTAGCACAAGCTGATCCAGCACGTAGACATGAGAAAACAATGTGCACCGTGGACCGAATGAGGCGTTGTTTGAGGAGAGCCGTCCATCCAGAAGACGATCAACGCGCCTACGACCCTAGATAGTCAAGTACAAACTCTCAGGGATCCAACAAGGGCTTGTACGTTTCCCACGCAATGCTTCGCATAGTATACAGCTTCCACGTGCACGCTATTGAAAGAATTGTCCTCGCAGAGAACCTGAAACGATTCATCTTGACAGGATCGTTCTCATATACTCAGTACCCTTTCTCTTCTCTCTCTCCTTTTCTTCTGTTTCTCATTGCTTCTTCATTTCCTTTTTCGCATTTTTCAATGAACGATTTTCCTCTAGATATATTCACCGAATGATGTACATACCTTGGTGCCTAGCTCTTCCGCATCCTTCTGCTTCCCCTGAATTTTTTGATCGAAATCCTCCCTGTTTCAAACAGACAGAGACATTCATGTCATGTCGCGCGTTTTCCCCGCATCGCTCGCCTCCATTATTCCTCTCCCCCCTCATCCCCCTTACATTGTACTCTTGATCAAGTCCAGCCGTTTGGCCACATTTTGCTTCGCGTCTTCCAACTCAACGCGGAGAAGCACTGGGCCCATCATCTTGTAGACATTCTCGCCCGCTTCCAAACCATCCAATTCCTGCGTAAGGACACGTTGACGATAGAGACGCGTCAACAATTTTTGTCGTTATCACAACCTGCATCGCGACCCAGGTCCGTTTGTACATTAAAAGCAACAGCCCACTGCCTATCAAGCTTCTGGCTCCTCAAGTCCCCCGTCAGTATGCATGAACCCCCCCCCCCCCCTATGGCGACAATAGAAGCCTA